AGTTCTTCTGTGTATTCTTGCCACCTCTTCTTAATATCTTCTGCTTCTGTTAGGTCCATACCATTTCTGTCCTTTATTGAGCCCATCTTTGCATGAAATATTCCCTTGGTATCTAATTTTCTTGAAGAGATCTCTAGTCCTTCTATTCTAAAATAAGCATAATTCACATGATGGAAATTATTAGTATAGACTTGGAAAATATGGTTATCTTTTTGAGTTTTTTTTTTTTTACTCAGAATAGTTTTGTTTCCATGTTTTTAACAAGTTTCTTATTTGAACTGTGGAGTGTTATTATCTGTTTATTTTGTTGCATGTTGATTAAAAGTCAAAATCAGTTGTGTTTGAACTCAGTTTTTTAAGAAGAAACTGGGTGTACTTCCCAAGTTTTCTAAGAAGTCTGTATAAACTGTCACACAACATAGCTGGGTTCTCGGTTGGTAAGGAAGTAAAATGAAATTGTTTGAATACAGCTTCTACTGATGACCTGAAAAGTATGGGACATTAAAATTTGCATTTGCCTGAGAGACGTGAGGCATAAGTTGCAAATTAAAAGACATCATATGAACCTGGCATCAATTAGGATAAAATAAAGTTTATTCCAGCAATCTGCTTAGCAGCCTTGTTAATGTCAAGGCTAATGAATGCTGCTGATGAATAAATTCCTGAAGAAGAAAGGACCCCAATCGGAGGTAAGCGCATGATGCGTTCAATTAGAGACCAGAAAAAGAAAGGGCAGAGAAATTCTATGCATTATGATGATAAATCCTTTAATTTATGTTTCTTATAATGTTATTGGCTGCCTTCTTTTTCTGACTAGGGTCATAATATTTATGGTTTTGAACTGGAAGTGCTACTGCAGAGAATTAATGTATGCAAAGTTCCTTTCTGGTCCAAGATAGGTCGGCTGAAGCGATCCAACATGCCAAAGCTCGGGGTAATCATAATTTTCAAATCTATCTTCTCTGTTTTGGCTTCTGTATATTGAGTAGCTACCAGGTTGCACCTTGTGCTTCTTTGACTTGGAATCGGTTGCCTTATGATGGGACATTTTAACTTTGGCACTAAACCCCTTTTCCTTTGAATTTAGCATTTTATTAGTAACCACTGGTAATTTTAAAATTTAGCTTTTAGAATCTACAGATAGCACATGCTTATTAACTCCACTTGGGCATCCCTAAGAAACAGAGCTGTGGGGTTCAGGAAGGAGATGGGAAGGAAGAACGGGAGGGATCAGACACTGATTCGCCTGTGTGATTGTCCTCTCTGTGAGCAGTTGCAGGTTTAGGGGTACATTCTCACAGAGGGGGCAGAGCTTGTTCAAGATCCTAGAGCTAGTAAAGGCAAGAACTAAAATTTTGAACCCAGGCCCATCTGACTCTTGGATGGCTTGTCCCTTTTCATTCTGCCTGCTTGCTTGATAAAGGGGGGTTGTGGTGGGTTTTGGATGAAGCACCTTCATTTGCTAAACTCTGACACTGCTCTTTGCTTGAAGTCTTTACTTAAATCTTACCAGTGAAACAGAATGCTGCTTCATCAGAGAACTTAGGAATCTGTACCGTTTATAATATTCTCCAGAGAATTCCACTGCTGCAGATTGGAGTTGGAAGCTAGTGCTCTTGCTGCTTTTCCTGTTCATCTCTTTAAGACAATAGAGTCATTATTAACACATCATCCAGGTGCTGGCGTTGCTTACTCCTTACCCGCTTCAGGGTTCTTTATATGGCATCTTCTCAGTGTGGTCTACCCTGACCGCCCTATTTAAGATGTAGTTCCGGCAAATTCATTGTTCCCGTCACCATGTTCTATTTTCCATATACTTATTACCTCCCAAAATTATATAATTTTTTAAATTGTGTATTTCAAATGAGATCAGGTATCTTTTCTACTTTGCTAACTGCTGTATCCCTTATATTCTGAGTGCCCGGAACAGTGTCAGATACATAGTCAATGTTCAAAAATATTTGAATGATGGCTGAATGAATGTATGAATGGAAGAATGAAAGTTTCATCATTGTAATTTTGGGTCTAGCCTCAAATCAAGTTAGAACGAAATGTCAGTGTCTGCTCTTCCATGGGATTTGCTTTTTGTCCTCGCCTGTAGGGCAGGAGTGGATTTGGTGAAAGAAATGCTACCTGTGGCCGAATGATCTGTGATGTGGAAATTTCGGCGAAAGAACTGATTCGGTGTAAAAGCTACCATTTATCTGAACTTGTTCAACAGATTTTGAAAACTGAAAGGATTGTAATCCCAATTGAAAATATACGAAACATGTACAGGTATGATCCTGAATGCTTCAGAATTTGTCTGTCCTGAATTTGGCTGAGATGCCAGAATCATCATAGGCTGGAGGAACAGGAGCATGTGGTGCTGTGGAGGGGGAAATTGTCTGTCTTCATGTCAGCATCACATCTCCATTCCTTTAGTGACGTGAATTATTTTGCCTTTTGAATTATTCTAATTTTATCATAATATCTCCCTCATTTAACACCATCTTGATGTTTCCTGAGAGCAGTTTGAAAATTGATGTGATATTTAGGTTTCCACCCTTAATTCATTAATTCAGAAATTAATGCAAATATTTTGGAAATATAAAATCTGAAAAGTGATTCAATTATCTGGAGATATTGCTGCTTATTTCTTTTTTCCAGCCTTGTTGAGGTCAAACTGACAAATAAAAATTGTATTTTTTTTAAGGTATACAGCTTGATGTTTGATATACATTGTGAAAAAATCATTACAGTTAAGCTAATTAACACACTCATCACCTCACACAAGCACTAATTTTTTCTTTTCTTTTTTATGATGAGGACACTTAAGATTTCTTCCTCTTAGGAAGTTTCAAGTGTATAATAAATTATTCAGTGTCACCATGTTGCTGTACATTAGATTTCTGGATCTTAATTCATTTTGCATAATGGAAACTTTTTGCTTGATTATTTCTTACATAAGGTTTCTCCTACCCCTATGGCCATTTTGCATTCTTTCTGCCTGTTCCTCTTGAGTTCTCAAACTGCTTCTCTTTCTGACTGCGCTCCCTGCCTGGGTGATCTCATCGAGTTGCAGGAATTTCAATACCACATGGGTGCTGATGCCTCTAAGCATACCTTCGCCTTGGATGTCTCTCCTGAGTTCAGACTCATGTCTATCTCCCTGTTCCACTTAATGTCTGATATGAATCTCCAACTCAGCCTGTTCCAAAACTGAGCTCCTGACTTTCTCTTCCTTGTTTCTCTTACTTTTCCAGTATCACTGGAAACCTCCAAAGTCATCCTCAGCCTGGAACCTCTGAGGCATCTATGATTCCTCTCTCTGACATCTTATGTTCCATGCATCAGGAAATCCTGTCAGCTCCATCTTCAAAGTATGTCTCTATCTGACCACTTCTTTTCTCTTCACTTGGACCCACTCTGGTCCAAGCCACCATCCTCTTTCTCCTAGGTCACTGGGTCTTATATTAGCCTCCTTACTCGACTCCTTGCTTTTGCCCTTGACTCCTTGTTGTCTGTTCTCAACCCAGGAACGAGAGCTCCTGTGCTGAAGTGAAGTCGGATATGGCACTGTACTTACAATCTCCCAGTGACTTTCTGTTTCATTCAGAGTAAAAACCAAAGCATTTATTTTGACTTACAAGGTCCTATACAGTGGGTCTCTCTGCCATTAACTCTGTCCTTATCTTCTGTTATTCTCCATCATTCTCTCTGTTGGAGCCATTGGTCTCCTTCTTGGTATTGGAACTGCGAGATTTATGCTCAGCCTAGGGCATACATTTTTTTTTAATTTAATTTTTTTTTTGAATGTGCTGTTCTGTTTGCCTGGAATGTTCTTCCCTCAGATTTACCCATCCAAAAGAATTACCCTCTCACCTCTTGTGGATCTTTATTCTCAGTGGACTCTTCCTTGCTTCCCTAACTAAAATTTCTCTCTGCTCTTGATATTCCTTTCTTAACTTTTCTTCTTAACACTTAGCCTTATTTAACATACCACATATTAAAAATTTAAGTTGTATTCTATCTCCCCCATAAGGACAGGACTTTTTGTCTCTTTTGTTCACAGCCAGAATTTAGAACAATGTCTGGCATTGAGTGGGTATGTAATACATATTTAGTGGATGAAATGAATGAAAGGATTTAGGGTGTTTTCAGATTGTAGTTAACATATAGCTTTATCTTAGTGTGATTTTTTTTGTTTGTTTTAGAGAAGGGCATTGGGATCAATGGTATGAATGAATTCCTAATTTCATACTGACCTTATTTTAAATTGTTTCCAATGTGAGGTGCCATTGCTCTTAAGTTACGTAACCAAAAATTTATTGTAATGCTTTATGAAATTCTGATTGTAATCATTGTTTCTTTTAATTACTTGATTCTGTTTCATTCTTACTTTTCTGTACAGTGACTCTTCTCATCTATTGTACCTGTTGGAGCACACCTGGAAAGATGCCAGGTTCATTTTGCAGATCATGTGTGAGCTAAATGTTCTCCCATTAGCATTGCAGATCACTAACATCGCTGGGAACATTATGGTAAATTTAACTTAGAAAGGGGGAAAAAGCATTTCCTGTTGGATCCAGTGTTTTCTTGGGGTAGTTGTTATATGATAATGAGTCTAAATGCATGCTTATAAAATGAGTAACTTGTATTTTGAAAGCTGGGCTTCTTTTGTAAAATGAAGAACTGCTTGGGAGAAGGGGAGGAAAGCCAGGTGCAGTATGTTGAAATTTGGGTGAACATAAGGATTGTCTCTGACATCTGGATGTGTCTGATTTGTGGAATGGTCCATTTGAGAGTAAAGAAATAGCCCGAGTTGTTGGTATTTTAAGCTCTCTTTGTCTCCTTTTAACCGTAATGGTTAAAGAAGCTGCTGGAAATAATTTAGTACCCCCTGCCTTTTTTTAAAGCAGCCCTTGATATGATGAGTGAATTTGAAAGAGGTACTATGATTAAATTTATCAATTTGACGTTGCTTTTGTTTATTGTGGTTTTGAGCTCAAGTTTTTTTTAAAAAATTCTACTTAATAGTCTAGGACGCTGATGGGTGGACGATCCGAGCGTAATGAGTTCTTGTTACTTCATGCATTTTATGAAAACAACTATATTGTGCCTGACAAGCAGACTTTCAGAAAGCCTCAGCAAAAACTGGTGGGTGCACAATTGTATAGTGTTTTGGTTTTTTATATCCCCCCTTTTTATTAACAAGATAGTTTTTTTCTTTGGGCTGTGATAACATCTACCCCACAGATAAGTAGAAACTGTATCCTATTTGCTCCATTGTTTTGGTATGGTCATTTCCTTCTCTACTATTCTCTGTACAGATAAAAATTATTTGTGAAATATGAAATTCTTTGAGGGAGGCATTAGGCCTCTGATGAGTGACCATAGATGAAAAGTGTTTTGCCGGGTTAGCACTACCAGTTGAACCTTTTATTTCCTTGAACCCCTAAGCCTTTATTTTTGTGTTGTGTGGTTGCATTTTTATATTCTAGTAGGATTAAGGTCACCACAGTCAGGTTTCTGAAGTAGCCTCCATCACACCAGAAGTAAAATTTAGCTTAGCTACTGTTTTATCAGCACGGATAGTAATCAATTTAGAATGGGAGTTTAATGTTAAAATGACTCTGGTTCTTTTGTTGTGCTTGTTTTATGTACATTATTAAAATTAGTAAAGGATTAACTTAGAGGAGGTTGACTTCTGCTGAGTATTAAATGTTTGCTAATTAAACTACTTGGAAAAGAATTTTCAGCATATGGACGTACTTATTTTAAGGTGTCCATATTAATAATGAGAATAATGGTAATATCTATATAAAATATTTTGTATTTTTATATCATGAATGTTAGAGTAACGAATATAAGAGAACTTTTAGAATCTCAAATTTTATATAACATGAATAGTTGAATTTTTAGTGTCCATTGATTTAAAAATGTGAAGTTCTATTATTCAGAAATATTTTAAAGTAGAATTTGGATATTTATCAACTCAGATACAGTGTCTGTTTTGGTAAGTACCATGCTTGGCATTCATTTGGATTCATGAACGTTACAGTAATTGTCTTTCCCCAGAGGACCATTAACTGAAAGTAAAGTATCTTAGAACTGTGTACTGCAATTGGAAAGGGGGAAATCATAAACCTTCTAAATTGGTTCATGAGTTGCTAGCTGGTGAAGTTATCTTCCATTTGATATTAGGGAGATGAAGATGAAGATATTGATGGAGATACCAATAAATACAAAAAAGGACGTAAGAAAGCAGCTTATTCTGGAGGCTTGGTCTTGGATCCCAAAGTTGGTAAGGCTGGGCAGCGGATGGCTTTGTCCCTGATGTGAAGGGACTTCTTAATGCACAGTCAGCTTGAGAAAACTAAAAGACCTGAGTTGTGTTTTGTACGTTAGTGAGTAGGTTTCATAATGACCTTACTTATTTTCTTATGTTCATGTGAAAATCTTGTTTGCCAGTCTTTTAACATGGGATTAATGTGAATCATTTTTTTTTTGCTGTATTCCAAGAAAGTTTTATTTATGGACATTGAAATTTAAATTTTGTGTCATTTTCACATGTCATTGAAATAGTCTTTGTACAATTTTTTTCCCGACCATTTAAAGATATAAAAACTCTGCTTAGTTCATGAGTGGTACAAAAAGAGATAGGCTGAATTTGATCTTTGCCAACCTCCAGCCCAATATATAGCTATTTGTCAGGACTTCCCTGGCAGACCAGTGGTTGAGAATTTGCCCTCCAAGGCAGGAGACACGGTTTCCATCCCTGGTCCGGCGATAAGAAAAATACCATACTGGGATTTAAGGAATAATAGTACCAGGCACAGAGTAAGCTGTTGGTATATGCTTGCTGTTGTTGTTATTGTCTTAACTGTGGACATTTACTTCTATTCAGTTTCTTCTGAAGGTGAAGATAACTCTTTGTAAATGTCCTAGAGAAATACAGTAGCTTTCTGTTCACCCTTTGCTAGTAAAAAGGGTGGGTCGTTCCTCTACTGACATTTATGTATACATCTCTTGTCTGATCTTAGCAGTTTGTATACAGGTAAATAGGCTGCCTGTTTTATTCTTTGAAGGTGTGATTGTAAAAAAAAAACGTATAACCACTCGCTGGTAGAGATCACTCAATATTTGAGGAGTAGTGGGGGAGGATAGGTGGAAAGGAATGCGTTCTTGAAGGAGAGTTGATAGGATCTAGTAAATGAAAAAAACATAAAGTAATTGATATGAGGGGGAGTGTTTGCCCATAATAATGGAGTACTTTTGGGGGACTGTTGAGCTTTCAATGCCAGACAGGATCTCTTCTTTCTTTGTCTTTGGTTACCTGATTTTTTCACTCTGATATATATTTACAGGTGATAATCGACCCCTTGTCTCCTTTTGTCTGCCTCACAGCTCTGGGTAATATATGGAGTCATAATATAGTACTTCTAATATGGTGTTTTGCCAAAGACTTTTTGTAACATGGGCCTTTTTTCCTTGCAGGTTTTTATGATAAGTTCATTTTGCTTCTGGACTTCAACAGTTTGTATCCTTCCATCATTCAGGAATTCAACATTTGTTTTACAACAGTGCAAAGAGTTGCTTCAGAGGCACAGAGATTTGCAGAGGTTTGTATTCAACTGCGAACTCTTGAAATTGAAATTAAAAATAGTGCTTAAAGGGGGAAGATAAGCAAAGGGCTTGGTGTTCTAGTTTTTCCCTCTAAAAGGTAATGGCATTCTAGCTTTTCCTTCTAAAAGGAAACATATCCTTTCTTCGTGGTCAGAAGGGGGAGTGTTGGGTAGGAGGAGACTCAGACTGGTTCCGTGTCTTTTATCTCATAGCTTTATTGAGATGTAACTCACAGACTCTGTAATTTACCTATCTAAAGTGTGCAGTTTAATGGCTTTTAGTTTATTCCCAGAGTTTGCTAACTGCACTATAATCCCTTTTAGAACATTTTCATTTTTCCCCAAAGACACCCTCTTCCTTTTAGCCCGTACTTCCCTCAATCCCTTCTAGATCTAGGCAACCACTAATCTTTCCACCTCTATAGATTTGTGTTTTTTGTACATTTCCTGCATATAGAATCTTATGTGACCTTTTGTGTCTGGCTTATCTCACTTAGCATGCTGTTCTCGAGATTCATTTGTGTTGTAGTATGTATTAGTCCTTCATTCCTTTTTATTGCTGAATATTCCATTGTAGCGATACATGTCACATTTTGTTTGTTTTAGAATCTCTTGTCAATTTATGCGAAAATACCTGCTGGGATTTTGATGGGGATTATATTGAATCTGTAGATCCCTTTGGGGAATATTGCTATCTTAGTAATGTTAAGTCTTCCAATTCATGAAAATCGAGTCTTTCCATTTATTTATGTCCTTAATGTTTTTCAAAGATGTTTTCTAGTTTTAAGTGTACAAGTCTTGCACTTTTATTAAATTTATTCCTAAATATTTCATTCTTTTTAGTGCAGTTGCAGATGGAATGTTTTCTTAATTTCATTTTTGGTTTGTCCATTGCTAGTGTAGAGAAATATAACTGAGTTTTGTATATTGATCTTGTATCCTGCAACTTTGCTTAGCTCATTTATTAGTTGTTGTAATAATAGTTTGTGGATTCCTTAGGATTTTCTATAGACAGTATCATCTTGTCTGTGAATAGAGAAAGTTTGATTTCTTCCTTTTCAATCTGGATGCCTTATATTTCCTTATCTTGCTTAACTGCCCTGGCTAGAACCTCCAGTACAGTTGAATAGAAGTGGCAAGAGCAGACACCCTTTTCTTGTTCCTGATATTAGGGGAAAACATCTAGTCTTTCACTATTAAATATTATGTTACTTGAAAGTTTCCCACAGCTGGCCTTTATCAGTATGAGAAAGTTCCATTCTAGCACTAGTTTAAGTGTTTTTTTTTTTAATCATGAAATAGTGTTGGGTTTTCTTAACTACCTTTTCTGCATCTATTAAGATGATCAGTATATGGTTTTTGTTATTTATTCTTTTAATATGGTATGCTATATTGATTGTTGAACCAACTTTTGTTCCTGAGATAAATCCCACTTGGTGTATAATCCTTTTTGTATATGGCTAGATTTGATGTGCTAGTATTTGTTGAGTTTTTTTCTGTATTCATAAAGGCTGTTGGTGTATAGTTGTAAATGTCTTTGTCTGGTTTTGGTATTAGGGCAATATTGGCCTCATAGAATGCATTGGGAAGAGTTCCCTTCTCTTCGGTTTTTGGGGAGAGTTCATGTGGGATTTGTTTTAATACTTTAATTTTTGCCAGTGAAGTTATCTGGTCTTAGACTTCTCTTTTTTAAATTTCTAACTCAGTCTCTTGTTATAGGTCTGTTCAGATTTTCTATTTCTCTTTTGGTCACTTTGGGTAGTTTCTGTCTTTTCTAGGAATTTGTCCATTTTGTATAGGTTATCTGATTTGTTGGCATAAAATTGTTCATATTATTCCCTTTTAATCACTGTAATTCTTGAAGGTCAGTAATGATGGTCCCCTCCTTTTATTCCTGATTTTAGTGATTTGAGTCATCTTTTTTTTTCCTGAAGAAAAGGTTTTTTTACTGAAGAAAAAACTTCAGTATAGCTAGAGGTTTATAAATTTTGTTAATCTTTTCAAACAAGCAACCTTGGTTTCCTTGAGTTTTCTCTATTGCTTTTTTGTTCTGTTTCTGTGCTAATCTTTATTACCTCCTTTTTTCTGGTTTCTTTGATTTACTTTGCCCTTTTTCTAGTTTCTTATGATAGAAGGTGACGTTATTGATTTGAGATCTCTTTTAATTTAGATATTTGCAACTATAAATTTCTCTATAAGCAGTGCTTTAGCTTCATCCCTTAAGTTGTGATATGTTTCACTTGCCTTTTTATAGTCAATCCCCTCTTCCATCAGTCAGTAATTGATCTGACTTTTTTTTCTTTTTTTTTTCATTTATTTTTATTAGTTGGAGGCTAATTACTTTACAGTATTGTAGTGGTTTTTGTCTCACCATAGCTTAATTTTGCCTGTTCAAGAATTTCAGATTAATGGAGTGATACAGTATGCACTCTTTTGTATCTGGCTTTTTTTTTCAGTGTAATTTTCTTGAGATTCCTCTGTGTTGTTGCATTATTGCTGTTCTTTCCTTTTTACTGTTGAGATGTATTTCATACTTATCTGTTCCCCTGAGATCAGCATGTGGATTATTTTCAGTTTGGGGCTGTTATTAATAAAGCTGCCGTGAACATTCTTCTACAGTTCTTTTTGTGGGTATGTGCTTTCACTTTTGGGGATACCTAAAGAGTGAATTTGCTGGGTTGCGTTGGACAGTGTATGTTTTACTTGAAAGGACACTGTTAGATTGTTTTCCTAAGTTGTTGTACCATTTTATACTCTCACCAGTCATGTATGTGAATTTTTCCCTTTTCCTGTAACACTTGTTATTTTCAGGCTTTTAAATTTTGGCCATGAAAGCATTTATTAACGATTCTGTCCATTAAACATCTTTTTCAAAAGGATCCTTTTGAATTATATCACATGAATTTTAATCTAACTAGTAGTCATACAGTCAACAGTTTTATGTATGGCTTAATAACTTAATATGTGGTTCTTCATATATAAAGCTTATACAATTGACTGTCAGTAGGGAATTTGATTAGATTTGGTTCTCTAGCAGTAAAAGATGGAAATTGACATTATCTCTGTATGTTGTTTTTCTCTGCTTCTTTGTGCAAGGGGCAGAAGATGTTCTTTTGCTCTCTAGCTCCTGAATTTACAAGTCTTTTGGTTCCAGCTTGGGGGCTCTTTTTCAGTCCTAATTCCATATTCCTGGAAGAGAGAATCTTAGAGGCTTGCCTAGGTTGGTGAACACACCTGTCCATCATCTGTGACCTCAGGAGCGTGTTCACACAGTACAAATGTGTCTGCTGAGGATAGGCTTTTCTATGGGATTGGAGGATAATTTTACAGGGTAGGTATTGAGTAGACATCCCCGAGAGGTAGTGACTATGTTTGGTTAATAATATTCTTTGGACTGTGTCCTGTCTGTGTCAGTATTAGGATAGTTATCGTTATGTAGCTCCTTCTTCCCCCTCTCCCCCCACCACCATTTTGTTATTTGAGCTTTCCAGTTTAGATTCTGAATATGAAATTACACTTCAGAGTTGAAAGAGGTCATCTAAGAAATACTATACACGTAGCAGTTTATGGGTTCTGTATCATTTTCCTGGGCAATACTGTATTTGGTCTTCAGAACAGCTAGCGCCACACAGCTCGTGCTGGCAGAGCCAGGCATGGATTGTAACTTGCCTGACTTCAGATCCTTTCAGTTTACTTTCTGTTGGACCTCCATGGTTGCTGTAAATAAATTGGAATGTGTACCAAGATCTCTTAATAGGTTTGCTGTCATCATCTGCTCTATTGGAAAACAATAGGTCCCTGTTACTATTGTGAGATCGTTCATTTGAAGTTATTGATCTTTATAAAATCAGATACTTTGTAAAAACTGGGTTATCAAATGGCATTGACTTGACATACTTTAAGCCAAGAGGTTTATTTTTAATTTTGAACCTTTGAAAGGGCAAATGTGCCTGGTTTTTCTTTGTATCTTGTTAATATTCAATAGAATTAATGGAGCCTTGAGAAAAATGGTCTGATGCTTCCCTTGCCTTTTCTTCCTGTAAATTTTAATGGAAGACTGCTGGTTGCTTTCTTAAAATGTTGCTATTGTACCAATTGCAAAGCAATTGATAGATAAAAGGTACTGCATAAATACTAAGGAATATATATGTGTTAATTTTTAGAAATGTCGTGGCCTATTTAAATATGGGCTCCAGATTCCTAAAATAGATTTGTTGATTTAGTATTTAGTAGGTTTTTATTTTTCAGTCTAAAATACCTAAAGTAATTGCTGTGATTTCCCATAGTTTAACAGTTTTGTAGCATTTTGTTTGGTAGTGCACTGGTCTTAAAAATAGTAATTTAATGGCTTTATTTTAAAAACAATACCCCCAAACATGTTGCTCCCCAATCTTTGTTGAAGGGGGAAAAGGAGCATGTGTAAAAATTCATCCCTTTAAACGATGCCTACATTTTGTCAAGAACTAGATCGGGAAGGTACTGGAATGATAGGCTGAGAGAACTGACTGAAAAGAGGGCAGCGTTGACCTGCTTTGCAGCCCTCTCAGCATTGTTGACCTTTATACTTAGACAAGAAACTAGCTTTACAAAATGTGGGGTTAAGTTCCCACAAGGTATGATTTTGGGAATTCATTTCACAAAAGTTTGATTTATCTGAAGTTTTTGTCTTGTGTTCATCAGGATGGAGAACAAGAGCAGATCCCCGAGCTGCCAGATCCAAGCTTGGAAATGGGCATTTTGCCCAGAGAGATCCGAAAACTGGTAGAGCGGAGAAGACACGTGAAACAGCTAATGAAACAGCAAGATTTAAATCCAGACCTTTATCTTCAGGTATATCTTTCCACTCAGCAACCTCTGAGTGATAGTCTCACCTTTGAAAATTTGATTATCTAGGAGTGATTTAAACATGATGCTGTGGACAGATGTATGTGTTTACTTTAAGTTGGTGGGTAGGAAACCATTCAGAAACATTTGATGCCTCAAAATACAAGGCACCTCTGTCTGCAAAGATGTATCTGAGCTAGTACCTTCTGACCTTCTGGGAGCTTTGGAATCTGTGTTTATTTGCTTCTAGGAGGTCGGGGAAACGTGGCTCTGGGAGGATGGGTTGACTGTATTCAGAGTTCTTTTCTCCAAGGATTTTGAGGGTTTCTTATTGGTAGTTAGAAAACATCTAATGTAATGCTTATGCATCTGCAAATATTGTTGTCTGTCTTTTGTCCTTGTGTGGCCTGCAGTATGACATTCGACAGAAGGCTTTGAAGCTCACAGCAAACAGTATGTATGGCTGCCTGGGATTCTCCTACAGCAGATTTTACGCCAAACCCCTGGCTGCTTTGGTGACATACAAAGGAAGGGAGGTAAATGGTATAACATTGCCATATCTAAAATGAAAGTATTTTATTTTTTTAATTTTTTTTATTAGTTGGACGCTAATTACTTTACAATATTGCAGTGGTTTTTACCATACATTGACATGAATCAGCCATGGATTTACATGTGTTCCCCATCCTGATCCTCCCTCCCACATCCCTCCCCATCCCATCCCTCTGGGTCTTAACACTGTTTAACAAATAATTCTTCAGCTCTGTTTTACTGGGCATTAAAGTGTCTCCATGCGCATGCCTGTGACTTCATTTGACTTGTTGCAGGCAAAATTGCCTACTTCATGACTTATAGCCACCTTTCTGTTACTCAGGTACTGTCATACCAGCTTCTCTAAACTGATTGTGTAAAATGCCATCTAACTTTTTATTCTGTACATTGACTCAGCCTGATAAATTTTTACAACTATTCTAAGAAACTGAGTAGTTTTCTTTTTTCCACTCAGCTGCTGATAAAGATGATAGTTCAGAAGATTTGTCAGTGCCGAGTAGTCCACATACCGAAGCTATACAACATAGTTCTGTCAGCACATCCAATGGAGTCAGTTCAACTTCCAAGGCAGAAGCTGTAGCCACTTCAGTCCTCACCCAGATGGCGGACCAGAGTACAGAGCCTGTGCTTTCGCAGATTGTCATGGCTCCTTCCTCCCAGTCACAGCCCTCAGGAAGTTGATTAAAAACCTGCAGTGCAGCAGCTTTAGATACTCATTAGTGACTTCAAAGGGAAATCAAGGAAAGACCAGTTTCCATTTATGCGAAATCTGTGGTTGTAAATTTTTTTTTTTTTACTTGAAATTAAATTTGACTCTAAAGTTGGTGTAGCAGCAGTTGATGATCAGACTGAACAAGTTTTTAGTCTCTGGAAAAAGACTGATTTTGCTTTTTTTATAAATATTGTTAGATTTATTAATTTTTCTGTGCTCAATGTGTAAATTGTATGATAATTCATTGTGGTTTATTTCACTTTTAATTTGGGGGTGTTTTAATAAATGAGGGTGTTACTGAATCTCTCTTCCTACTTCCATTTCTTTTGACCACCTCTTAACCCTCAACTACGATGGTAATTTTGTTATATCATTTATACCAAAGTTCTGCGTAGTCCCTATTGACTTTGTAATGTTAACAAGGTCATAAAGCACTAGCTAGAGGAAGAAATTTTCTTTTAATCTTTTTGCCTTTTATTTTGCACATTATGCAAAAGGAAGAATATTACCGAACACTTTTTAAGTGAGTGAAATGTGGTAAAAGACATACAGTGCTTTTATGCACACTCTTAATCTTAAGATCAGTAGTAGTGCATTTTAAGATTTTAAGTAAGCATGAATATTGGAATCCTTTATCATTTCAATAATGACTGTTTTTAAAGTCTTAAATTCAGTATTTTAAATCCTATGTTTTGAGGCTAACAAAATATGAAATTATATAAAGTACAATACAGGGTTATCAGATACCTAATAATTTTTTGATATTAGATTTTTGGTTTTTTTTATTTTTTGCAGATTTCAGGTTTCAAAATGAGAAGTTTATGCATAATCAAGTAAGGTATGGTTGCCAGAAAAGCCTAAAAATTACTACTTAGAAAATTTAAGACTGTTTACCCCCATTGTCTTGTACTTGCAAGCTAACTTGTACTTATTCTTGTGGAAGCACTGTCATCTTTTANTCTTTGTCTGGTTTTGGAATTAGGGTGATGGTGGCCTCATAGAATGAGTTTGGAAGTCTACCTTCTTCTGCAATTTTCTGGAAGAGTTTGAGTAAGATAGGTGTTAGCTCTTCTCTAAATTTTTGGTAGAATTCAGCTGTGAAGCCATCTGGTCCTGGGCTTTTGTTTGCTGGAAGATTTCTGATTACAGTTTTGATTTCTGTGCTTGTGATGGGTCTGTTAAGATCTTCTACTTCTTCCTGGTTCAGTTTTAGAAAGTTATACTTTTCTAAGAATTTGTCCATTTCTTCCAAGTTGTCCATTTTATTGGCATATAGAAATGAAAGTATTTTAAACTATACATATTATGGAGTGGGAGAGCCAAAAAGTTTACTGCCTTGTAATACAGCTTCAAATATCCCTTTCTTAGGACAAATTTGAGAGAGATATGCTTTTAACTAAGGATTCATTCATTAATCCATTTTGTGTGTGTGTGTAATTATTGAGCATCTTCTGTATGCCAGGGATTGTTCGAGGTACCAGGTATAGAGTGTTGAGCAAGATGTAAAAAGTCCCTGCATTGTGAGGCTCATATCTACCTAGGGCAGGGGGTGTGGAAAGGGCTTGGGGTGGAGGGAAGGTCATTTGGGAAATCAGACTTTAAATAAGTGAATAAGCAAATATAAAAATAAGAGAATATGATAGAAGTAATGCTATGCAGATAATTAAAACAGAATGGTAGGTTGAACACTGTTAAGGTGGCTGGCTGGCTTAGCTTGGTCAAGGAAGGGTTCTTTCGAAGGTAACATGAATGAGGCCTGTGACATAAGGAAGCTAGTTTTCTTATGGATATATTAGGTTGGAGTGTGAGGGAAGGGAAGAAGTCAAGGAGGATGCCTCCATTTTTGTCTTTTAGCTGGTTAGCTAGCTAAACCATTTATTAAGAAGGAGAAATCTGGGAGAGAAGTTCTGTCTTGGATATGTTACCTTTGAGGGTTGTAATATATCTGTAGGCATTTTGAGTAGGCAGCTGGATGTACAAATTCCTAATTGCATGAACATTATCAGAACCAGAATTAAAGATTTAGAGTAACTGGTTTTAGAAAGATGGGCTACATACCAAACAGATTGGAGGTGCTATCCTTTTGTAAACACTAAAAGCTTCATCTGCTTTAGGACCATGTGTGTGGATTTTCCTTAGTTTGTAAGAGAATAGTTACATTAGATATTAAATTCCATTTAGCTCTAGTAAAATACTGATTTCTGTCAGTGGATTTAAGACTACTTGGTCTTAAGGAGGTAGTGGTTATAGGCAGAATACTCATGCTGGGGACCTGGAGTAGGAATTCGCTATAGAGTAGAGGTTGGCTCATTACAGCTTATGGGCCATCTGTTTTTATAAATAAAGTTTTATTGGCACATAGTCATACTCATTCATTGAAGTATTATCTGTAAATACGTTTGTAGTACAGTGGAAGAGTTGAGTAGTCAAGATGGAAATTTGAATGACCTGCAAAGCCTAAAATATTTACTGTCTCTTTAAAAAAAAAGCTGACCCCTGTTTAGAATCTAGATTCAGTTCAGTTCTGTTCAGTCGCTCAGTCGTGTGTGACTCTTTGCGACCCCATGAACTGAAGCACGCCAGGCCTCCCTGTCCATCACGAACTGTCGGAGTCTACCCAAACCCATGTCCACTGTGTCAGTGATGTGATGCCATCCAGGCATCTCATCCTCTGTCGTCCCCTTCTCCTCCTGCCCTCAATCTTTCCCAGCATCAGGGTCTTTTCCGATGAGTCAGCTCTTTGCATCAGGTGGCCAAAGTATTGGGAGTTCCAGCTTCAGCTTCAGTCTTTCCAATGAACACCCAGGACTGATCTCCTTTAGGATGGACTGGTTGGA